AAAAATTGTATTGACAGTTAATATTGGGAAGAAATTGAATACATTGATGAGGGCCACTGAAAAGGCCCTTGTGACGAAGACTTTTGTTACAAAAAAAGAAATGTGATAAGCTATTGGCTCGAACACTTAAAGGGATTCAAGAGCAATGTATTAAAACAATTTGTAGGAAATAGTTATGCACGCTAATGACTTGTGCTTTTGTTGTTATTGCTTATTATGAAAACCTCTGACTCAGCTATGCCAAGCTCCTGAATTTAATCAAATATCTGGAAGTGTCAGATTTGACAAAGACGAACAAAACTGATAAATTTTAGACAAGGAAATAACAGAAGAAGAAATCTTAGAGGTTAGCAAGTGGGGAAAGTGGTAACAATTCTAGGTCCTGATTGATTTCTAGTTGAATTTTTTAAAGTATACATACCTCTTTAAATATCTCGTGAGAGCTTCCATCAGTATTATTCCATGAGGGGCATGTCTGTACTTACCAGAAGATCGATGATCCGGAGGTCAATCTTCTGGTGTTCCATTTAGTGGGTTTAGTATAGACCCATAAATCAAAAGCTAAGGTCAGCTCCCGCCAGCATCCAGTACTGCTCCTTTTGCAAGGAGTAAGGAAAGCAAATGGGAGCATTTGCTCCCAACAGCTTCTTGCAGTATGGATGCCACCAGGATCAGCTTACAGTAAGATGACTCTAAGTATGCATTTTACATAGCTGAAGTTCTGTACCTTAAGCCAACTTTCCTGGTCTCGTGCAGGCTAGGACTTAGAGGACTTCCACAACCTATGAAAAGTCACTGTTATCCCTGAAGTTGGAAAAGTCCTTACCTTATGCAGTTCGTATAGGTGCATATGACAGCTGAATCCTAACAGATTTTGGCAAAAATACTAGCTAACCAATTACAGACTATGCTCTGTCTGTATAAATCCAGATTAAACTGGATTCATTAAGGATAGACATGAGCCAATGTTCTGATAGTGATAATACCTCTATAATACCAGCTCAGAAAGAGATCCGTTTCTTTTTTCCTCTCCATCAAGTGATAACAACTGTAGATAGAATAGACTTTGCATCAAGTCCTGTTTCTCATGGTTGTTGGCCCCCAGGTGCTTAAATGGATAACTACTCCTTTCACCAGTCCCCAAAAGCCTCTGTGACCTAATGAGGTTGAATCTCTCCTGTTTGAATTAGAAGAACTAGGCATGGATGTCTTTGGGTGGTGGTTTGTGTTGTGTGGCGTGTGTGTGGGTTTTTTTGCACTAGCCATGGAGATTTTGTGTAACTATATAGCTAGCAGCAAATTTATTGCAGGAATAAACTTTTAGGGACACAACAAAAACCACTTTATATACAGATAACATGAAAACTTTTTTCTGTAAACAAATATTTCCCTAAAATTAGTGTCTAAAGAAATCTAGTACTGCAGGAAAGCATCTGGATTTCAGATTTGGTATAACTTATTTTAAATGCTAGCTGTAAATTTGTCTGATGGTGTCATTCCTTCAAAAAATATTTAGGGATATATGGGTGTAACATTGTATAAAATACCTGGGAATTCAAATCTCAAACAAGCTAGAAGAGCTCTTCAATTTTAAATATCAATCTGAAGTGCTGTGGGAAGTATTCAATTTCTTGATTGGGAAGAATAGCCACAGTCAGAATGAATACTTTGCAGAGAGTATCTTTTCTTATTTAGTGTTTTTGTAATCATTTTAGAAAAACCACTAGCGGAAATAGAGAGGACATTAGAATTTCTGTTGAATAAAGGGGGGAAAAGAGAAAGCACAGGAGTTTTATATAGACCCATTAAACAGGATGGACTAGCTGTTTGAAGTATTCTGTCGTAGTGTCAAGATAATTAGCTCAAAGTAGCAGTGGACCTGGGGACTCTTGACACAGATGAACTGGATCTATTTACTGAACAAGAAAATTATGGAAGTGAAAACAGAGCTATGTTTAATATGGATTAATAAAGTGTTACTCTCCAAAGATGTGTGTATCTTTTAGTGAAGTCTGTTCTGCATTTGGAATAGAACTAGAGAGAAGCTTCCCCCCCCCCCCACTTAAGTTACTCCCTCTGCAAATAATCCATTTGTTAGTCCAAAGTGCGAATAGTGAGCTTTATAGACTGGGAAAGCCATGGAATCCTAGAACCATAGGGTTAGAATGGACCATAGGGGTTATCTAGTCTGGAGTTATCTAGTCTACCCTTGCCCCCCTAAGATGCAGAGTTACACATGGTTGGTCAGCTATTTAGTAAAAAAAAAACTTTTCTGACATATTTAGAAATCAAAACTAACGTTAGCTGGTCCAGTCACCCATTATACCAGCACTGTCTAATTAAAGTATGTTTTTTAACTTTATTGAAAAGCTGTGTTTTACAAAAATCTCATTTGAATAGAAGTAATTATGTCTTGTCAATTAAAGGACAGAAAAATAACTAATTAGTTTTTGCTGACAACTTTCCAAACCAAAATAAAGTCCATATATAAAGCATGCTGGGAAAAGGATCTGTATAGACAAATTACCCTGGACTTGAGCTTGAAAAGAGGACAAGCCACCTTAATTTATAGCATGATTAAACAACATTTATTTTAAGATATTTCAATACTACCTCATACCACACAAGCCTGGAGGAAGGGTGGGTGTGTGAGGGGGTGTGTGTGTGTGTGGGTGTGGGTGTGTGTGTGTGAGAGAGAAAATTGTGGTGAAAGAAGAAATGTTATATGCCTATATAGTGGACATGTCAAGTCATTAGAGAGTATTGGAATGAAATTCGTAATGAAACATTCAGCAATTTTTTATATTTGTTACCGAAGGATCACTCTCTGGTAATTTCCCCAGGGTTTCCTAGTAGAAATGATCGCATACAAGGAAGAGTTGTATATAAAGAAGATCAGCTGCTAAGCTAGAAGTAGCTTCTCATTTGAGACAGAAAAATAGTCCATCAATAAAGGAGAGGTTAAAAAAAATGGGAGGAGTGTGAATTTTTTCATAATCGCCATCAATGCATACCAAGCAAAATAGGGGACAGATACATAGCTGTTGGTTACTTCAGGGCTGGGCAGGATGTAGCCCTGAACCGAATCTGCCCATGTACCACTTTGATCTGGCCCACGGACTGTTTCTGGCTGCTTTCTATTTATATCCTGCTGCCTGTGTCTCTCAATTTCCAGGTGGTAGCTCAGACAGCAGAATCTATTTAAATGGTTCATGGCTCCCAGTCATACCCTAAAAGAGGCCAGAGCCATGAACCTTTTAAATAACCACATAGTAACCCAGATGCCTGCCAGGCAATGTGGTGGTAGTGAAGGTGGGAGTAGTGAGCCCTTTGCTCTGTTTTATACTTAAAAGCCTCTGCACCAGACAGCTCTGGGGGAGGCTAGTCCCCAGCCCCACCCCTTTTGCTCAGGCCCCGACCCTTCTGGGGGATGGAGCCAGCCCATGACCAGTACCCGCCTGGGAAAATTATTGCTCACTCCTGTGTTACCGTGTAGACCATATTCAGATAAACCATGTTCATCTAGAGAGGGGGAGCATACCTGTCCAATTTTTTGAATGTTAACATTTGAAAGACAAGCTTGGTCTGCTAAATATTTGTAATCAGAGCTTTCATTCAATGTAATAAAATCATTAGAAATAGTATATCATAGGTGTAAGGATTGTTACCGTGTAAAGTAACACCTGATAGAAGAAAATGTTAATATTTGTATGTGTCTTCAAACAAAAGCTCAGTGTTGTCATTTCTGAAATTTATATGACAAGTATTTCTAATCTTGTTTACTTCTGAATTAGTAGTTAAACAAGAAAATGTATCTGAGGGTTAGCCATGTTAGTTATTTTGAAGAAAATGTATAGCAGTCTAATCAATAAAGTAGCACAATTTTAAAAAATAGAGGTTGTAACTTAGTTCTAGAGTGTGAGTTCCTAATGCAATTTAATTCAAGTCATCTGACTTTTTTTTTAAATTAGGACTGTCATACACTTATTACAAATGATTTGTGATTGCACTGATAAATAGTAATTGAATTTTTTATTCTGCATTTTCAAATATTAATTTCAATTACAACACAGAAAACAAATGTTCAGTGCTCCCTTTATTAGTTTTGATTCAAATATTTTCACTATAAAAATGAACAAATGAAGGTGTTTTTCAGTTCGCCTTGTACAAGTACTGTAGTGCATCGAGAAAGTAAAAATAACAAATAGACATTTTTTTCTATATTACTTCACTGAAAAACAAAACTTTAGAGCCTACGTGTTCACTCAGTCTTACTTCTTGTTCAATCAAACAGACCATTTTTTTCCCCCGTTCACAGGAGATATTGCTGTCTGATTCTTAACAGACCATTTTTTTCCCCGTTCACAGGAGATATTGCTGTCTGATTCTTATTTACAATGTCACTTTTGTAGCCGGTGTTGCAAAGTATTTATGAGAGACATGCCAAATATTGTGTCCCTTTGTGCTTAGGACACTTACAGAAAACTTGCTTGTATTAGGTGAATTGAAAAAAAATGTTTACAGTGGGCATATTTGTAATAGTGAGCACTATGCACCTTGTATTCTGTGTTGTAATTGCAATCCGTATAGTTGGGAAAAAGTAGACAAATATCCAAAAATACATACACACCATACATTTCAGTTGACATTTTGTTAACTGTGAAATTAAACACAATTAAATTTTTAGTTAATTGCATCAGTTAACTACAATTGACAGCCTTATTTTTATAATTAAAGTAGTTTTAAATATACAAAATGTTCATCAGCAGTGGTGTACTTAATTTCAGAAATTTGGGTTTTTGGGGTTTTTTTTTTAGAACTTTGAGAAGCATATTGCATACAGTATCCATATTTTCTATTTATGTCCTTGTTATTTTCATTTGACTTAAATGCATAAAATTCTAGTGAGCTTTAATACCTTTATAGTTCTAAGCACATCAGTTATGTTCATGATTGCCTCATGGTAATGTAAAATCAATATCACATAATTTTCTTCAAAGGCATGACCAAGGTTAAAGTAGGCAAGGAAGATTCATCATCTACAGAATTTGTAGAAAAAAGAAGAGCTGCACTAGAACGGTAATATATGTATTTTTTTTACTGCATTCCCTTGGTATATTACTGTATTAAATAGACATGGTATGCTCAGTCTGATCCAGCAGCTTGTGCAGTTGTTAGTATTGGGCTGCTGGATCAGATTCACACAATAGTGCAGTTGTTTGTGTGAATCTGATCCAGCAGCCCAATACTATCTGAATTTTCTGACTTAAGTATGGCCAATTCATCTTACTTTTTAAATTCAATTGCAACTTTTTTCAAAAAAGCCAAAAATCTTTAAGTTGGACATCATAGTAAAGAGGCTTGAACAAGAATAATTCCTTAATGATTGTGGCAGGACCAAGAAAACCTACATCATCCCTGGGGTTTTGTCCAATTTGTGTTATAATATAGATGGCATTGTTCACTTATAACAATACCATATGCTGCATACAGTATTACTGTAAATCAGAGCCAAACATAACATGTCCTTGCCCTAAAGGACTTCACTCTAAGGTACTGTTTTAAAAAAAAAAAAACACGTACATGGGACAAAATCAGACATACAGCTGAGACTTGTTCAAGTAGAAAGATTTATTTGCTCTCAAAGAGCAAAACGTAACATTTTCTAAAGAAAGCAAACCTCAGAACTGTGATAGATTCATCCCTTGATGAGTGAAGTTAACTTTGGTTGCCTTGTACTCTACGTTTCTTGAGTCTTCTTGTACCTATGTCTTCCCATTTGCATTTGCTTTCGTTTTGTAATACTCTTCTTTGTACATGTAAATTAGACTTCTTTGGTTGTTCATAATTGCTGTTGCCTCAGGCAGATATACCAAGCATTTGTTTTTGACATCAGTTTAATTTTTTTGAGGCGGGAGCAGGTAACAATATACACAAACAGGATTGGAAGTGACAGCAGAGAGGCACAGAATTGAAGGGACCTGCATATTGAACTATCTGCTAACCCACAGAGGTGATTCCTCCACCACAGGGGACTTGAGTACGTTGGCAGAAATATTAAGGAAAGGTGCACTGCTGCTTCCTCCATTGTCTGCTCTGTGGATAAAGGACACGTCTGCTGTCAGCGCTAAATTGACTAAATTATTTAAAGTTATCTAATATTTTGACTTTTAAAATCGTAGGTATCTACAGCGAACAGTAAAACACCCAATCTTGTTACAGGATCCTGATTTAAGGCAGTTCTTGGAAAGTTCTGAGGTATTTAAGATTTTTTTTTTTAAGTTCTACTTATTCTCTAGTTACTTTGTATAAAATACTGTTAATAATACATAGTCTCATCTTTAGATATGGAAACTTAGTCTCATAATTTCCTATGCGATAAGATTAGATTAATCTTCAGTGGGATAAATTGGTTCACATTACAAAGACAGTGGACTACAGAGTCTCTTGCCTTTATTACTTATTAAAATGTAGATTAGGTCAGTAGTGACTTAGAAGTTTCCTTGCTGCTCAGTAGTTTATAGGAAGTAAATTGGTCTCCCCAGCACCTGGTGAACAAATATCCCACTCACTATGCACATGGCAGTGCTATTGGTTGCTTTCAGTAGAGAACTGAGGCATTAAACTAACATTGAAATAAAATTATCCTCTAATCTGTAACCTCTAGAGGGAATTCCCTTAAGGTCAATGTTGATGTTTATTGGTGAGGGAAATGTGGAGAAGTTTACACTGTTGCTGGGTTTACACTGTTGCTGGCTATAGGATATCTATTCTATGGATAGAGGACTTTAGTACCTTTCTGGCATCTTTGGCAAACATTAAATACACTTCAAAAAACAAGAGTTTTATGGATGCACATAATGTATCTGCTGTAATATTTAATTGTCTGATAAGTCATGTTTTTATCTCAGTCATGTTACCTCTACCTAAAGAATCACATCACTGACTTGTGTATCATTAACTGGGTAGCTTAAGTACTAATTCTCATGACATTCCTGTGAGACTTACAGGTTTCAAGACTTGCATTTAGAAATCAATGTACATAAATACACTGCGCTCATTTGTACATGACCAAGATATTCTCAGATACTTTCATAATGTACTGAAATATTGTTTGAGCGTCTCGATTATATTTACCATGTTATACTATATCTAAGCTTTTCTCTGTTTCTTTAGTAGCAGTTTGCTGTGTGTGTGTATGTGTGTGTGTGTGTGTGTGTGTGTGTGTGTATATATATATATAT